TTTGTTGTTGATGTACTTGGTCCTGGATTTTACTAGAGAAATATGGTCTTAAAAGATGTCAGTAATAGGAGAGCAGAAAAAATTAGACTCCAGTGCCATGTAGGCAAGAGAAGGCTGCATAAGAATGAGCACCTGATCTTACTTAGTTAATGACAGGCTATTTATAGATAAGTTTCTTTATCAGGAAACTTCTAGTTTGTTAGTCTATAAGTGTAAGGGTGACCTTTGGCACAAGCAAACTGAGCTGAGTCTTAAGGAGACTAAAGCAGAGGTGATGGTGCAGAGTATTCTATCCAGAGCCCATAGTGAGTATGATGCAGATAAAGAAGCAGCAAAGGAAACTTAAGGAGTAGTTAGGTGAGAGGAGAGCCGAGAGAATGGGGTCACAAGAGCCTAGTGAAGAGTATTTACAAGGAAATGAAAGCATTCTAATGCTGCAGAAGAGGCTAAGAAGGACAAAGACTGAGAAAAGACTGTTAGATTCGGCAACTAGTATGTCTATAGAGAGGGTAGTACTTAGTAGAGAAAGCCTTATCAAGGAGTTAGCCATAAAAGGGAAAAGAGATATAGGATGGTAGCTAGCAGGCATGGTAGGGTCAACTGAGGATTTTTTTTTTAAGGATGGGGAAGATAAGGGGTGAGTTATATAAAGTGTGAGGAAAAGTTTGGATTGTCAAAAGCCAAGAAAAAATGCTTGATGGGCCAGCATTGCTAGTGAAAATCCCAACTGGAGCCTGCTGCTAGAGATGATCTTGTGGGCTTCCCCCACCCCTCTCTAGAAAGAGGAGGTATTTTAGTGAGGTTTGTAGTTGCATCTGGGGCTGGGGCAGTTTTCAAACTGGTCTTTTTTTTTTTTTAAGTAGGTTCAAAATATAGGAGTAAAAAGCCAAGATCAAAGAAAACAGGGATTAGGAAGGAAATGTCAAACCAAAACAACTAAACTAACAGACTTCCCAGGGCATTGCCTTTTTACTATTTTTTTAATAGGGAAGGCAGTTTGAGGAGAGATATAACAATAATAATAGTAGCATTTATGTAGCAGTTTAAGGTTTGTAAAACACTTTGCATACATTAACTCATTTGATTGTAGAAGAAGCTGTCATCCCCAGCATACCTGTTGTTTGTTCTAATTTGGTCCCTTGCTACTCCAAATCCAGGATGTAGAGTACATCACCCAGAGTTTAAGAGGTGGCTAGGTGCAGTGGATAGGGTGCTAGGCTTTGAGTCAAGAAGACCTGAGTTCAAATCCTTCCTTAGAAACTTAACAGCTGTAGGATTTTACCACAGGGTAAATCATTTAGCCTTTTTCAGTCTAAGGTTTCTCAGCTATAAAATGAAGATGTTGGGTTCCACAGTCTTTAAGGAAGAAAGGGAATATGTGGTCATTGAGTAAGAATGGGTTTATTGAAAATAATCTAACCTCATTTCCTTTTCTGACAGAGTTGCTAAACTAGTATATTGGTAATGTTGTGGATATAGTTTACTTTTCAGTAACATTAATACATTTTAATGAGTTTTATTGATTTTTAAAATTTTTTTTATCACAGTAGTTTCTATCTCTGCCTTCTGTCTTGTAACTAAGTAGAACAGTTCAGCACCACCAACCAAGACAGTGATCATATCTGAATAATGCAACATTCCCCACCACTCTACTGAAAGGTGGGACATGTTCAGCAAAGCATCGTACAAAGTCTTTCATACTATCCTAGTGGATAAGATGTCAAGTAGAAGTACAGCTTTGTTCATATCTGGTTGAATGAGAGTCATTAATAAAGTAATATCAGGTTAAAAAAAGATCTCTATTTGAGTGCCTCAAGGATTTTAACTTGACCCTCTCCTGAGCAGTAACTTAAAGACATGTTAAGTGTATCAAGTTTATAGAAGATGCAAATTTGGGAGTGATAGCTAACACATTGATAAGAGAGTCAGGATTCCTAAAGATCTTTATATCCTTAAACAGTAGGCTAAGTCAAATTAGATGAAATTTAATAGTAATGTAAAGTCCTATGCAGAGATTTAAAAACATAAGTACAAGAGAATGAGACATGGCTAAGTGATAGTAAATGTGTAGAAATATCTGTGGGTTTAGTGGATTGTAAACTGAATATGAATCAATAGTAAAAAAAAAAAAGTGGCAGCAAGAAAAACAATTGTGACACATCAAGCTAGATAATAGTGTCCTGAATGAAGGAGGTAATAGGTAAGGGATGGGGTCTAGACCTGCAATTTACTTGGTATAGGGAACTCCTAGGTAAGGAAACTACTTGTGCAAGCCTGACCCTCCTGTGCCACTCTCAGTGTTAGGGAGCTGCCCAGGGTCACAGAGCAGGTCTGTAACAGAGGGAGGATTTGAACCTGGGTCCTGCTTTGAGGCCACATCTCTATCACTAAACAATGCTGCCTCCATGTGGAAGAAATCACAGGATTTTTGACTCAGAGCTGGAAGCATAGAGGCCATTGACTCTAACCCTTTCATCTTATGGTCGAAGAAATAGATTATGTAGCTCGTATCCAGGATCATGCAGCTAGTAAGTTATCTGAAGAGGGATTTGAAAACAGGTTTCCTTACCTTTAAGGTGAACACCTTAACCACTGTGCCATGGTCACTGCAGATTCTGCCCTTCTCACCTGTAGTTGTGCTTGGTTCTGGGAAGGACTTTGGGAAAAAAGACTATGCCATTGGAAAATATGCTGAAGGATGTGCATGTGTTTAGCCTGGAGAAGACCTGAGGGCCATGGTAGCTGTTTTCATGTGTTTAAAGAGCTGTCATACTGAAGAAGATTTGACTTGATCTGTTTGGCCCCAGAGGGAAGAGCATTGGGTAGAAATTACTTCTTGAGACAGATTTGGTCCTGAGGTAAGAAAAACTTCCAGACAATTAGAGTTATCCAAATGGAACAGGCTGTTTTAGGAAGCACTTTGTTCCCCTTCCCCAAGTTTTTCAAAGGATAAATGACCAGTGATTGAGGGGCTGTTATAGAGGAGATTCAGTACAGGAGTGGGTTGGACTAGATGGTGTCAAAAGTCCCTTCAAACAGGGAAAAGATTCTCTGGTTCCTTTGCATAGCCAACTATCCTTTGATAAGGAAAATTTCCTTATCTATCAAATAAGAGTCTAAATTAAAAAAGAAAATCCCTTCCTATTTCAGAATTCTATGAAAATCAGACTCCCAGTGTCTTTGAAGAATCACAGAATCTAGCCACATCAACCTCACAACTTCAAAATTTTCTTTTACCTTCACTTCTCTCTCCACAGACTCCTTTCTTAGAGAAATAAACATTTTTTTCTCCTTTCTAAGAATAATCCCCCCTCCAGGTTCTTCATTCTATCTCTTCATCTCTCAGGGTTTTCATCTATTATCCTTTCTTCACACTTAGGCTAGATTTGAACTACTTAAAGTAAATGATAAAATGACCAATTAATGAGTCTCACAGTGTGAAGTCTTCGGAAGACATTTAGTGATGTGAAATGAAACCAGAAGTCTGGACGAGGATTTTTTTTTTCAACACCCTCTGAGTTGTGTATTGAAAGAAAGCATTGAGTGGTTTGAATTGAAAGTTTAAGTGATGGTAAGCACACTCCTGAAGAACAAAGGTAGGAATGAACTGTGTCATGGAGAAAGATATTGGAGAAGACAATTGGCTCTACAGACATTTAAGAGTAGAAGACCTCAGCCAAGAGGACTCCCAGGGAAACTCCCCTCCAAGTTGCTGTCTATCTACAGATACTACAGATACTCATTACCCAAATGGTTACAGTAAACTGAATTTTGATACAACCATGAAGAGATCAGAGATTAATGAGAGATAGCTTTAAGTGTAAATTTAGGCAGAGTGCCCAATCTTTGCCTAAATATTGGGAATCTTCCTTAGTAGAGAGCAATTGTGATTAAACTCAGTTGTTCATCTAAAATAATTCCCTAAAGCCAAAGAGGAGAGAACCTCATGGACCTTTAGGGCCATTATATTGTCCCTAATACTAAAGTGAGCTAATTACTGTAATGGTATTCTACCATTACCTACAAACATACCCAGGTCTTTCCTATCTTAAGACAACATCTTCCCTTGATTAAGATAGCTTCTTTTAATCACCAAACCTTTAGGGGGTGGTGAGAGGATGGTCTGAAACTTAGTTTATACTATCTCCAATTTAAATCTAGAGCACTATGGAATCTGGCTTCTGTCTTCCACACTGTAGTAAAACTGCCATTAAAAGTCACCCCATTACCTCTTAAGCACTCAATTCCTTTCTTAGTTGTTTATTCTTTTTAATCTTTTTGAAACATTAAATGCTGTTAACCAGCCCCTCTTTCAAGAAACTTTCCCTTTTGCTTCAGTGGCACTACATGCTTCTGATCTCCCTAACTGCTTAGGATACTCCATCTTTCCCCTACTAAAAGATAATGCTCTCTCCCACGGTATCTCATTCCTTTTAAATGTTTTTCTCACTCTATCCTTTTCTTTACAAATTTCATTCCTAGCATAATGTTGATCATGGTCTCGAAATAAATGAATCAATGAACCATGCCTTTGCCTATTATGTTTACAGAGTTGACTGCAAAGAACTGCCTCTTTTAGTTTCAGATTTTTAAGTTCATGCTATACATTTCCACTTTGATACCTTGTCATTTCAAATTTAGCTTGTCAAAAACTGAACTTGTCATATTATTCCTAGACTGTCTATGGCCTTTGAATTTACTATTTGCTTATGTTCACCCCATTTTCATGTACTGAACCCCTTAGATGCATATGTACAAACCCTGTCCCCAACCCTAGGTACAAACTCCTTCACTCTCTTCTACTACAGCCTTAACTTCCTTTGCCCAAAGTTCCACAATAATGTACCTACCACCCCCCCCCACTTCCACTGTTCCCTCTGAAATGCCTACTCTATAATTAACATATGTTCTTTCATCCCAAACCTTTTCTTCATCTTTTGGCATTAATTGAGAAAACCTTCTCTTTCTCACTTCCCTATTACTGTCCAGGGTCCCACCAT